CGGCCAAGTGATAAATAAGCCAACTCCAGATGAAAAATGATACTAGGGAGGATAATAAGGTAGAATAAAGAAAAGACTGAGGCGGAGAGGAGAACAGGGAGGGGGATGGGTGCAGACCTTCGCTGGCTTCTATGGAGCCTGCAAGGACAGTGGAAAGGGCGCAAGCTCAGAAGCAGTCTCAGGCTTGAGTTCTGCCTCCGACACAGTGGTGATGTGTGTCTCGGGAAAGTTGGTTAAACTTGGTTTTCTGATCTAGAAAAAAGGGACTAATGAAAATATTACCTCCACTAAACTGCCGTGAGAATTAAGTGTTGTAAAGAGCCTAGCACAGTTCCAGGAATGTGGTACGTGCTCAGCACATGTTATTTTCTTCGGCACGCTCTCAATTCCCACAGCCATGCCCAGCAGAGGGGTCCTGGATCTAGCCTAGACTCATAACCTCATCCTCCTCTTGGGGCAAAGAAAGACGCAAAGCCTGTGGGTAGCAAGGCAGACAGGAAGACCAGGAGGCCATGGTCAGGGTTTCTTCCAGACAGAGCCAATGCTGCTCAGCCACTGCACCAAACTGCGGTACCCCAGGCCCTTGGACACGAAGATGAATACAATGTGGAGTCTGCCTTAAAGGGGCCAGAGGTTGAGGGAGAGACAGACATACAAACATAATGGCTATGGAGGGATAGGGGCCTCCCTTATGGCATCTATGAATCCCGACGTCAAAGAATCTGCTTTATTGTCCCCACCACCTGGTTTGATTTGTAGTTTGCAAAAAAAAAACACAAACCAAGTCCTCACAGTTCCATCAGGGCTGAGCCAAGTGCTGCGCAAGTACAGAGGAGAGTAATGAATTCTGCTCAGGAGTCAGGAGGCGGCATTTGCACAGGGCAAGTGATGAGAGCTAAGGCTTATTAATGTTTACTGAGCACTAACACGTCAGGCACCGAGTGCTTCACACAGATTAACTCCTTCATTCCTCCCAACAGCCTTATGGGAAATGCTGCTCATATTTTACAAGGATAAAGTCACAGAGTTTGAAAGTGGCAGAGCCAGAGTCTTATTCTAGATCCCACATTCTTAATGTCGATGCCAAATTACCTCTCTGAATCTTGAATAAATATTGTGGCCATTCTGCGATCCAAGGTCAGTTTATCTCCCTCGCCCCCCGCCCCCCAACACACACACACACACACACACACACACACACACACACACACACACACTGAAACTGCCAGTAGAGATGGGCTCATCCATCTATTCATGCCGTGCTCATTAGCACCTATTCTGTGTAAGACTCAGAACTGTGGGACTTGTGTGTATATGTGTGTGTGTGTGGGGGGGGGGGGGGGTGGAGGTGGCAGGGGCTGCAACCCAGAGCCCCTTTCTCCTCCCATGAGCTTGTTCTGCTGCAATTTCCCTTGGCTCCCGGGCCTAAAGAGTGGCTGAGTTAAAGTTGAAACAGTCAGCTGGGCTTCTTCCCCACCTCTGCTCCTGGTAGGCAGGAAAGATGGTACCTGAGAGGCTTAAGACATAAAAGTCGGGCTCAAAGGCTTGGGGACTTAAAAGACCTTCCAAAGCAAGGCCATTCTTCTCTCTAGTACTTCAAGAGTGGGACAGTTCTCTAACTGCAATCTTACATGGAGCAGATAAAGCGGAACTGCTGTGAGGTAAATTGGGTTGGGGGTTTTAGGGCCCCACTCACTCAGCATCCTCCATATCCTTCCTCATCGTCTCAGGTGGCACCTGAAGCCTCTCCATGGGGTGCAGTTTGAAACCCATCCCAGGCGGAGCACTGGCGAGAGCTTGATGGTGCCCCGTCCTCGGCTCTGCTGGCTGTTGAGACCGGCAGCATCCAGCATCGGCAGGCAAGTGAGGCCAGAAAGCAAGGGACTGACTCATTCCTGCTGTCATGTGGAGGTTTAATAAACATGTATACGACTCTCAGCCCTAATATGTGCTCTGATTTGCCTGGAAGAGATATAGGTTCTGGGCTGGGATCAAGGAGAGGGGAGTTGAAAAGGATGGGCCTGGAGCGGGTGTGGGGGACGGGGGGAGGCTAGTGGAGCAGGTAATAGATATTTTCTCCTTGTGGAAAATACTAGAGTGGCCACGGCTGAGTGGAGATGCTAGAAAATTAAATCAGAGAACCATTCAGAGTGAATGAAGCCCTCCCAATTGCTTTTATCCCAGATGATCAAGGATACTACCATTCAATTCCATTCACTGGGACACCTTTTACAGGGCAGGGGAAGAGCAGACTTGGTCTGCACCCCTCCCCAGAATGGGGGCCCAGAACTATAGATGATAGGACACACTGCCCAGATACTACTTCTTGCTGGTACTCATGCCCCGTGGCCACATCCAAGATATGCCAGCATGTTGCAGGGTGGGGGCGGGGGAGGAGGAAGGGAGGTGAGAGATGAGACTGTTTGGAGAGCACTGAGCCAGTATTTGGCACATCTTTCAACATTTTTATACCCAATTTATATATTTATAAAACATTTTATTATGGAAAATATTGAACAAGACTAGAAAGAATAATGTAACAACCCCCGCCACCACCCATATATCATTCATCTCATGGTCATTCTCGTTTCATCTATACTTCCACCCAACTCCCCCTTCCTCCCATAGTACCTGAAAGCAAATCCAAGATACTACATCATTAACTTGTAACTATTCCAGCACAGTACATGTTCAAGCACTTACTATGCACTAGTCACTGCGCCTACATTGTGAACACGATAAGATAAAATTTTGTCTTTGAAAAGCTGCAGCTGGGTGAGGAGCATATAGACAACAGTGTATTGAGGTGAGAGAGACCAAATCACAGTGAGAATAGAAAACCGAATTCTTCTCATTTGGGAGGGCATATACCCCAGCATGGACTCAAAAAAAGTCACGCTTGAAACAGCCAACGTGACCACAATGATTAACAACCTTATTTCTCCCGGCCTCCCTACCTCGCCGATGGGTTTCCGTGGCATCTTCACTCTTCCTTGAGAAGCTGCTCCTCTGAGAGCCATTTTAGCTGAGGAGCTCGACACATCACAGGACGGGAGCTCACCTGTCCGTAGAGGACTCTGACACTGGAAAGACTGCTGACCAAGGCCCTTTCTGGCCCAATCAACTCCTGGGGCTTCCGCTAAGCAATGACCTCAGGCTTTACCGCTGTCTTTTCTTAGAGGTGGGAAGGATAAGTGGCCTCCAGGGGTTAAGAGGCAGAACCTTAATAAAAAGGACACTGAGTGTTGACAGCTCTGGTGGCTCTAAGCCCTCTCTAATCAGAGCTCGGGACACCTTAATGGGTCACTAACCTCGCCCCAGATGTCCTGCCACATCTCACCACCTGCACAGCAGCCGTTCAGCATGCTAGACAGAGCCAGGAATAAAATACCATCTGTATTCTGGCTCCTTCAGCTGTCCCCACCCTGCAGAAGCCTGGAGTATGAAAAGTCAAATGCAAGAGGGCTTGGAAATTAGGCAAACCCAATGGTTTTATATATGACGAAATATATATGATTTCCAACATCAACTCCAGTCACAGAATATCCACCTGCATGGGGATGGTGGGTGATCTGAAGCACAGCAGACCAGAGGTGCTCAGAGGTGTATCCTGTGAAGCAAATAGAATCACTTCTAGAGTTCCTTCTGCATTTAGGGGTCAGGTGATAGCTTAAGTAGCCATTTATTACAATCTAGCATCTCTGTGAGCCCAGCAGGCTGAGCTGGGACAACAGGCAGAGCTGGGGATGAACACTGTTAGGACTCACCTTCCAGTGGATGCAGGTAAACAGAGCCTGAAAGAGGAGAGAGAGAGAGAGAGAGAGAGAGAGAGAGAGAGAGAGAGAGAACAAGTATCTGCAGAGCACAGGGGCAGTCTGCTGCCTATCAACTCACAGAATCTTCATTTGTCTTGCCTGCCCATCTATTCCCTGCTATGAATGTGGGTAGAGAGCGAATAGAAATACGTATGGAATGCTAGCTATAAAATTTTTGGAGAATGGGGTAAGGCAGTGGTCGGCAAACTGTGGCTCACGAGCCACATGCTACTCTTTGGCTCCTTGAGTGTGGCTCTTCCACAAAATACCGACTTCTGCGCATGGGCCACGAAGTTTCAATCGCACTGTACATGTGCGCCCGCACGTGGTATTTTGTGGAAGAGCCACACTCAAGGGGCCAAAGAGCCACATGTGGCTCGCGAGCCACAGTTTGCCGACCACTGGCCCGGTAGGGGAACAAGGTTAATTAAAAATGATAGTTAATAATAAGATCACCCTTAGAGTGAGCCTCAATGATCAAACTTCAAATAATCAAACACTCTAAGGATAAATGAAGTATCACACAGTTTGGCTCTTCACTGCAAAAGGGCAAGATTGTATAGAGGCTAAAAGAATAAATTTAAGAGTCAGACAGTCCTAGATTCAAGTCTTGGTTCTACTCAACCACCTACTAGCCCTTTGCCTTGCAAGCTATTTCACTGAGGGCTTGCCAGGCACAGATAGATTGTAGGTGCACCACAAAATACTATTGGTTGTAAATTAACTATATATATAAAGAGCCAGTGGCCATCGCAATGGAACGGACGACTGAACAGGCTGTGTGGGGCAAAAAGGCCAGTGGGGGGTTAGTGAGGGATGACCAAACAACTGAGCAGCAGGCTGTGTGAGGCAACCAGGCCGGCAAGGGGGGCAGTGAGGGACGACCAAATGACTAAACAAGCAGGCTGCGTGGGGCAACCAGGCCCGCAGGGGGGTTAGTGAGGGACGACCGAATGACTGAATAAGCAGACTGCGTGGGGCAACCAGGCCAGCAGGGGGGTTAGTGAGGGACGACCAAATGACTGAACAGCAGGCTGTGTGGGGCAACCAGGCTGGCAGGGGGGGCAGTGAGGAGCAACCAGGCTGGTGGGGGTGTGCAGTTGGGGGCAACCAGGCTGGTGGGGCCAGTTGGGTGAGATTAGGCTGGCAGGGGGGCAGTGAGGGGCGACTAGGCTGGTGGGAGGGCAGTTGGGGGCGACCAGGCCAGCAGAGGGGAAGTTGGGGGCAACCAGGCCAACAGGGGAGGGTAGCTGGGGGCATTAGGCAGACAGGCATGTTAGTGGTTAGGAGCCAGTGGTCCTGGATTGCGAGAGGGATGTCTGACTGCCGGATATCTGACAGATGTCTAAAACGGCAGTCGGACATCTCTCGAGGGGTCCCAGATTGGAGAGGGTGCAGGTCGGGCTGAGGGACATCCCCCTCCCCCTTGTGCACAAATTTCATGTACTGGGTCTCTAGTTTTTAGATAATATTTACAAACAGTGTAGAGGTGATTAGGGGTGATAAGGCTGGCAGGGGGGCCAGTAGGGGTGATCAGGCAGGCAAGCAAGTAAGCAGTTAGGAGTCAGCGGTCCCAGATTGTGAGAGGGATGTCCCAGATTGGAGAGGGTGCAGGCTGGGCTGAGGGGACCCGCCCCCACTCCATGCACGAATTTCATGCACCAGGCCTCTAGTTTTATAATAATAAAAGTTTAAGGCAATTTTTGTAACTATTCATTTTATAATAGTTGAAGTTACATTTGAACACTATTTGTGTGGGTCCCTGTGAGGTTTTTTGAATGTCCTAATTGCTATTTTGTTGCATACTTTATACAAAGCACCCATGACCAGAGAGCAGTCTGGGATGACTACATCACCTCTTAATCATCCACTGTTAAAAGTAATATAGATGTACTGAAATTTTCACTAAACCCCATGTAGATGCCTTAAGTCCCCTCAAATTTATCTCAGAATGCCAAACAATTTTCTATGTGTGCCATCATGTGCAAAAGATTGGAAGGCACTCATTTAATCTCTGAATAAATTTCCTCAGATGAAAGATGGGAATAATCTATATATATAAAGAGCCAGGGACTGTCAAATTTGAAACAACTGAATGGACGACCGAACAGGCTGAGTGGGGCGACAAGGCCAGCAGTGGGGTTAGTGAGGAACAACCAAATGACTGAGCAGCAGGCTGCATGGGCAACCAAGCCAGCAGGGGGTGGGGCAGTTGGGGGTGACCAGGTTGGAAGGGGGGGCAGGTGGGGGTGACCAGGCCGGCAGGGGGAGCATTAGGGGCAATCATGTCGGCAGGCAGAGGCAGTTAGGGGCGATCAGGCAGGCAGGCAGGTGAGCAGTTAAAAGCCAGTGGTCCTGGATTGTGAGAGGATTGTCCGACTGCTAGTTTAGGCCTGATCCTCTAGTAATAGTATATATCTCATAGGGTTTTGTGAGGATGGAATGAGTTAAAATATGTTAAGCATTAGAATAGTGTCTGGAACACAGTAAATGAATAAGGAGTGCCAGTTGTTATTTTTCTTATCTGTAAGATGTGCAGATATGGCTGATGTGAAGATTACATGTGAGATAAAGCATGTTAAGGGCTTAGTACAACATCTGGTATACAGTAGGTTAGTAAATGCAAACCAGTATTACTAGTGCTCTAACTAGTTCAAATGTTCATAATGTTTCATGTTAGATTGCTCTTTCTAAGTTCTGGTTAGACCAAGGGTGGGCAAACTTTTTGACTCGAGGGCCACAATGGGTTCTTAAACTGGACCGGAGGGCCGGAACAAAAGCATGGATGGAGTGTTTGTGTGAACTAATATAAATTCAAAGTAAACATCATTACATAAAAGGATATGGTCTTTTTTTTTATTTTTAGTTTTATTCATTTCAAACGGGCCGGATCCGGCCCGCGGGCCGTAGTTTGCCCACGGCTGGGTTAGACTATAAGCTCTTTACACTGATTTCCTTCTCTTCAAACCTATGACAAGCCTAGAACTACAGACGCTGTCCAAAATATAGTTGGAGATTGATTTTGTAAAGCTGTGAACTTTCACAAAGCAATATTAACATCTACTATTTGATTTAATTTCTCAAAACAACTTTAAGCTATTTCCATTTTAAAGGTAAGAACACTGAGGCCTTGACATTATGTGGCTTACCCAAGATATCAGGTTTCAGAACTGGAAGCAAAACCCAACTCTGTTCGCTCCAAGTAGTGTTATTACCAGATCACAGTACTGTACTGGGGCTGTTGCACACAGTTGTACAGGGGAGTGCAATTCATATTGCAGATGTTATAAATTTGTCTATTTTTATGAAGTACTTTTATGGCAGATGACAGTAAGAGTTTTGTTATAGATACTCAATATAAGTATCCTATCTAATAAAAGAGAAACATGGTAATTAGCCGTACATCCGCTACCCTTCCCATTGGCTAATCAGGG